TCCAAGACTGTTAAATATTGAGCTCCGTCCATCGTCCAATCAACTCTGAGCAGCTCCACCATCCCACCTATACCATGTTTCACGATGATGTGATTATGTTGTGTTGTTCTGTTGTGTAGCGTCTAATTGAATAACACTGGAGTTGTTTTTTCAAGGTGATTCAGATCTTATACGCCTACATGAACTCCAACCCAAAGCTGAGTTTATTTAAGCCTGCCACTTTTTATGAGTGCTGCAGTTTCTACAACTTTCTTTCTACAACTGTGTTCTATTCAGCAGTTATTGCTTCTTCACTTGCCCAAATGGAAAACTGTAATCTTAGACACTGAGCAATGACATAGATCACTGTTAAGACATGAGCGTCTAATATGAGTCAATGAGGGCTGCTCCCTTGGCAACTGGCTTTATGTTTTCTTGCAGTAAGCCTTTCTTGATAATTAGCAATTAGTTGTAGAATACCTGCCCCCTGAGCCTCGATCATTCTCTTTTTTCACGCTTTTGTCGCTTTTCACCTGGTAACAAAGCAAATCTTAAAAGAGGCAGACATTCTCTCGGACTGTCGTAGGATGCAGCTCACTGCAGCTCAGCGTCTGTTTCAGCTTCCATGCAATTTGGCTGATGACTTTACTTCTGGAATGAATTCAACAAGCAGAGGCCATTCTGCTGACGGCGGTGAAACAATTAATACTGTGTGAAGTTATGGAAATACACACTATGCTATAGCCTCCAACCAACATTCCTGGGTTCTCCTAAAGCCTTACAAGAGATATAACAGCATAGTAAAAATACTGATGGTTCATTAAGTCTCTGTAGGACTTGGGTGTTGGTGGATTGCAAAAGAACCTGTGTTGGCTCTGGAGGAGATGCAGAGATCTACAGCTCGTGTGGAAGAGTAGTTCTTTATTGTGAAATCTACAACTTTGACCTCATTACAAGAAGAAAGTCACTGCAGAAAGAAAGCAATAAGAAATCTAAAAATGAAAGTTGTTGGTGGACAAAGATGTTTTACCATGCTCAGGTGTAGCATATTTCTTAATTTCGTGAAACAATGCAATGAATAATAAATAAATGGTCCCTTTCATTGTGAATCCTGAAAGATATTTCAGGAGCAAGATTTATCAAATATGTGCTTGTTGCCTGGCAACTTTCATAGTGTTGAATAAGCTTTGAGGCTTTGTGTGCTTCAATGTCACTGCTGACAATATGCGGCTGATGTCTCTTAGTGGGCTAAGTTTGTAATTTATTGTATGATATTTGGTCTGTAAATGTAAAAGAAACCCTTAAGAGTTAGAAACGTTTGCTGTACACTATGTTGAGTCATAAATCTGTGTGTATAACATAACTTCCTGATCCGAAACATGAATAAATTACTTTACATGATAATTTGAGGAGTGTGATGCATGACACAGATATTGAAAATGTACTGTTCTTTCTTGAATACATATGACATGTTGCAGAAATGAGAGCAAGATAAATGTTTGGAAAAAAAAGAAATAAATTAAATATAAAATATTTTGGGGACAATAGAGCTTTATGTAATATTAATAATATAGAAACCATTCTGCAAAGAGAAAGTAATTCTCAAGTAATCTCCTGGGCTGAGAGACAGTTGTGTTGAGTCCCACCTGTGCTCACATTAGCACTGATTCTTCCTGGAGTTTATTTTCATCCCCTTTGATCCCGACGCGCCTTGAGGCAGTTTTCAACTCGAGTTTCACAGGTTCTCATGAGAACGTGAATCATCAAACAGACATCCAGAGACAGCTTAGTTGATGATTTCTGAGGCATGTAAAAGAGAAAGAAGGAAAAAGAATCTTGTATACCCCACAAAATAATATTGGCATCTTAGATAAAGATGTGTCGAAAGCGTGATTATAAATGCAAAATTCTCCTGAAGCAGTATAGTCTCACACTAAGAAAAAGAAAACAAAAATCTGTGCATGTCCAATTCTTTCACTTAAATCACTGATGGGACATCAATTGATAGTCTGTGGTATTAAAGCCAGTTGTTTAATTCAGTGAGTTTTGTTACATGATCAGGATAATTTAAACAAAAGTTATTTATCAGTCCTCAGTGTTGTGTTTACCTGGTCAATAAAACCAAATTGGAAGAGACGCCTCTTGAAGCACCTCTTCAAGCTAGAAATGAACAGAGCACATGACATTTAAGTAAGACAATTTTCCATTGACGTTTGTAACTCAAGGAATAGGAAAATAGTCACTGTACTTGACTTGCACATAATATGCACAGATCAGTTATTTTAAAATGAGAAAACAACTTTGAAGAATTTAACTATTTGTGTTAAATTATGCTGCCAAAAAAATAAACAGTATTGAATTTAAGGAATCTTTAATTAATTTAGCCAGTGTTGACTTTTAATTCCTTACAAAAGATATTCTGTTTCTCTACTAAACACTATCAATACTTACATTATAATTTAGATTATTTTAAGTTTTTTCTGTTTTACACTACTGGAATGACGTGCTAATTCATTTTAAGCTGTTTTACTTTTTGCTCTTTGTTACAGATCTTTACTAAGAGTACCAATGAATGTGGAGGAGGATGTTAATAAAACACTGGGATTCCATAGCTGCTTCACTATTTGTAAGTCTCCTTTTCGCAGGTCGCATCCATTAACCTTTACCCCAAGCTGCTTTACAATCTGGAGTGTTGTGTTTCATATAGTGTTGCTCAGGTTGAAGGTAGGGTGTCTGGATTTAAAGAGTTTCAGACATAATGAGGACATGAAGGGTGTAAACAAGCATGATCAAATATTTCTTCAGGAATACCATTTCTTTTATATTCTTTATCGTTAAAGGAGTTATATGTTGTGAAAGTAGTTCTTTTCTGTCGCATTATGGTGTTTAGATATAAAAACACTTAATGAGCAACAGTGCTTTTTGCTGCATGCCATTGATATTGGTTTACCCTTATTTTTTGTCATTCAAATTCCCTGCCTAACAGACCTTCACAAATACAGCTTCCCCATCTGTGTCCCCAGAACAGAACCATCTTTGAATAGTTGTCTTATTGTTTTTCACAGTCTTAATAAGAAAGTTCTTTAATTGGAACATGAAACAAACCTGTGGGGAAGCATCTGCATTTGTTGTGACTCTTCCATTCATCTTTGTTTTATTTCCATGTTTAATAATTTTATTTTTCCATTTGTTACTCATTTTAAAAACAGGGAAAACACAAATTGGTAAGCCAGGGCAGATGAAATGCACATAAAAAATTCAACTGCCTATTTCATCCTTTATAAAGTGCATCAGCTGACTCAGCGGGAGGCATTGCATTTCTAATGCAAGTTTCTGTAGAATATTAAACAGTGCAGAAGCAAAATTCATTTCTTCTTCTTCTTATTATTATTACAAATGCAACCGTTAATTTTAACAAATTGCCAAGTAGAAAAAAAAATGCAAGTTAAGAATTAATTGTTATTCACAAATTTGCCAGATGGACAATTATTGTTGCCTCCCTAATTATGGAACATTTTGGAACAAACGATTCTTTAATTTTTTTTTTTTTTTTTTTTTTTAAATTATTATTTATTTACTTCTTCAGAGAGATGAGTGTTTTTCCCGAAGCTTTACAGTAGTAATCCACTACTTCACTTTAACCTAAACTTTAAGTTAAGGTGACAAAAATGCCTAATTACAACCAAAATAAATACCCTTAATGAGTGAGGCTATGTTTTGTTGCTTATTTAAAGTGAAAATAGCATCTGTGGTTAGCTGTAACTTGAACTCAGTGAAACAAAGATGAACAATTACTGAAGTTTATCTTGTAGGACCGTGAGATAATGAAAAACAATATAACCAAAAGGTGCGGTTTGAGAATTTTAACAAAAAGTGACCTTTTGGGGTCAACAAGTTTCTATTACAATCATTGGATGTTATGTGCATGTCCAACAGCTGATTGGGAGGTATGCCAGGTAGAAAACTTGAACACTCAAACAAACATAAAGGAGGTTCCTAAACTCGACTCTAACTTTGGCTGGAGCAACATCATTTGATAAATTGACAATAAGGCTGACACTAAGGCAAGTAGAATTACACATCATGCATGGTGAAAGATCTCTGATGTTTTGGCTTTGCTTCTTTTTCAAACATCCCAGAAGACTTGTTAGAATGCATGACATTATGACCTTTCAGAAATGCCATTAGATTTGAAATGATATCTGATGTGTTCTGCCTGCTTAAAGTGGTTTGTGATCAAAGTTTTAGCAAGACAATAATCCAAAACACGTGATGAAGTTAACAAGGCAATACTAAACCAGCTCATTTGGCTCTTTAACATCCCAGACGTGAATTTTATTCCTCAGTACATGTATTTACTCATATTAGAGGTTGAAGATTTTTACACTTGCACTGTAAGATTATACTTTTGAAAAAAATATAAATACAATTCTCGTGAGACATTGTACGCATCTTTTTTCGGGGTACAAGGTGATTTGTCTGTATGAAATCAGTCGTCCAAATTGCAGCATTTCAGCACCACGGACAGTTCTGTGCAGTCTTTGCCTTTTTCTCTCCGGTCTGACAGCTTCTTGTTAACTTACAAGCTAAAATACAGATAGTTATTGGAAGTCACAAAAAAAAAACACAACTCTGCAGCGTGGATAATATTAATAGTATATTGGTGTGGGGTTTATATTTACCTATACCCTGATATACACTGGACCTCCATCATGCAAAATGACATGAGATGACAGCTGTTAGATGGAGAATATGGCTCTATGTCCAGGACATTTCGCGACCAGGGGGCGGCATAAGTATTTGAAAAATAAATAAATAAATAAAATAAAATAAAACGTTGCATCAGCTTATCCGGAAAAATAAAACCAAAAAAAAAAAAAAAACTATATATAAAGTTTGAATAAGTACAGCAGTATATATATATATATAATTACTGCTGAATAGTTGCGGAGCTATTCCTTAGGAAATGATATATTCACTTTCTGGGGGTGACCGTCCCTCCCTGACGTTTAGTGCGCGATGAACCCTTCGGACTCGTTCCCTGATCGCGGTCTGACCAGAAGAGGGCATTCCGCTTCTGCCTGACGAAGTTGCTTTGACAAGCAGACGTGATTAACGGCGGCGTCATGCTGTATTTCAAACCCAGCAGTAGCGAGAGGGAAGGGAACGGTTGAGCAGGGAAAAAAAAAAAGAAAAGAAAAGAAGGGGGGATGTTTGGATGACTTTCCCGAGAGACTCGTTGACAGCGCTTCACACTCACTTGGGAATAAACCTGCTGCTTACTTTCTTTCGGTGTGCCGCGCAGAACACAGACGAACAAGGTCTTTTACCAGAAATATTTATGGGAACTAACCGCCTGCTTTTTTATATCACGCCGACGCTTGGTGAAGTTCCAGACGGGATTTTCGCGGAATTTCCGTGTGCATGTAAGACTGACATGACTTACTTGGATGTGATATTGTTACCCTCTGCGCCAGCTGCGGTGCGTTCTGGCTGTTACTTTAAATAAGAAGAGGAAAGAAAAGAAGAAGCTGATTCTTCGCTTTGCTTCTGAAACATGGATAGAGAGTTCTGAAGCCGGATTTTGCAAGCCTTTAATCTGGAGTCGGGAAGTAAATGACATTCTCTGCGGTTCGCTGGGACGGGAATAGGTGCAGAGCTAAACCGGATAAAGCATCGCAGGTCCAGGAGAGTGAAAAAGGGCAGGTGCGCTTTGGAGTCAGCGACTGCGCGGAGAGAGCGGACCGGTGGATTAGGACGGTACCTGCGTGTGCTGTGGAGAGCGCATCATGCGGACTCGGATGTCGCGCACAATGAGCCATTAAAACCTGTAGGCTGGAGCGAAAACAGATAAGCGGATATGGGTAAGTTTTTTTTTCCTGTCTCTTTTCATCTGTTTGCTGAACGGAGGTGGTTGCCTCCATTTATCACAATGCAGATCAAATTGTGTCTTCTTTCCATAGTAGAAGCTGATGAAAACCGGACGATTGCGTCAAAAATGTCACTTCGGACGCACCGTTCTGAATCTTTATTTTTATTTTTTAATTAAGTGATTGGAAAAGCTTCTGGTTGCCAGTTAGTCGCAGAGCTGCAATGTGATTTTTTTAACCTCCTGATCTCCATTGCTTGTCCTTCGCTTTAGTAGAAAACTATTTTTTAAATCACATTTTCAAATAATGCGATTAGAAATTCCGCCCCTAAAATATGCACAAAGCAAATCCGCCTGCTTGTTTTAATTAAAGAACACCCCCTTGTTTTTCTCCGACTAGTTCGGGTGCACGGATGCACTGATTGATATGGATTGGAATGCAAATGCGCGGCGCATTTTGGAAGCCAGTCAACTTTATAAAACGTGCCTCTGCATAATCATTTATTGTCCTGTTTGTAGGAGCGTCGCACGGATCCTGTTGTCCTGCCTCACACCAAAGCTGCGTGGCTCTGAGAGGACCAGTCGTGCAGGACTTGCTTTATCAGATTGATTTTTCATTCAGCAAACCCCGTCGTGTTCTGCACCTGCTATCAGCAGACTCGCATTTAGCATAAAGAGCATAAAGCATGCGTCCAAGTGTGTGTGCTTGGTTGTCTCTCTGTAGCAATGAAACGGGCTATTATGCCACTGTATCTAACCTACCCACTCTTACTCTCACTTCTAATTAGTATTTACCATTTGCTCCTTCTGTTACACGCGTGCGCACACATTCCTTACCCACAGGCCACCCTGTGTCACACTCTTGATCCCCACTCAGAGAGCTTCTGATAAAAAAAAAAATAATAATAAAAAAGAATCCCATTTTGATCAATACTTTTTAAACATATATTTCTGCATGATTTCATTTTTTTCATTCTAGACCTCACCAGTTGCTTGAGTTTATTGGGGGATTTGTACCATTAATTGTAAAACAGCATGATCTATTGATCCACAGCAGGTTACTGCACCACATCAATATGAACTGTACATACCAGTACACTACAGTCTATAGGAGCTGCAATTCCTGCACAGGGCCAGGCTTAAGAGGATATGAGCCCTCAGGCTCATATCCAGGTTTGAATTTTTCCAGGTTTAAGGTTGTTGTGACGCTTTATGAACATGTTTCTTTCACTCATTTCTCCATCCCAATTCTATGTGCGCATGTTATTCACCGCCTTATCAATCAGAAGGTAAGAAGCACACCGTGGACATGTCAACAGCCCATCAAAGAGTTACACATGGATCTACTACACACAGATCAACCATACATTCACACATTTGTACCCTTTCATCTTTTCGTAGACCAATTTTGTACCCACACTTTGGAATTTCATTTTCTCTTGCTCCTATTCCATGTCCGAATGTAAACCATTTTGTTCCCGTATAGTTCAAATCATTTTTTATTGTCGTTGCGTTATTTACAGATTTAAATTGCCATTAAAATAATCAAGACTTGCATGTATTTTAATTCAGTTTTATATTATTTTCTAACTCTTGTTCTACTGGGCCAACCGAGAATCACACATAGCCATTTTTTTTATGTATCTCACTAACGTAGGTTGAAGAATACACCATATATTCTAACAATTATTTTGGAAAACCTTTGTTGCCATCTTCCTGTTGAAGTTATTCCTAATTATGCCTAATTTAATCAGTTTAAATACTAATTACCTAAGGTAAAATCCATAAAATCTCTGATCTCTTTAATTTACCACCTGTTCAGAAGTGAAAACACAAATGAATGTTTATTTTGAATTAAACCCCTGCTATTGTAAAATCAACTCTTGTGCTCAAGCCCAAGCTAGTGTAGGCAACCTCCCATTGAAAGATATTAAATCTTGGACCCACGTAACCATTTTTTATTTAATTTAATTATTTCACACATGCTTGAATTTTATGAGTAGCACAGGAACAATGACCGTGACCAATGACAGTTTAGTGTAAACAAATAAAGAAACAAATTAGATGGTCCAGGGAAGCTTGTGTAAGGGGAACGGGCGAGATACATGCAGTTCTTTGTTATTCAACTAGGAGTTATGGATATTCTTCGAAAATGTGTCCCAATATTGAAGTTGCTGCAAGTCAGAGATGCAATTTTTTCACTTCAACACATCCCATCCAGAAATCGATGTCAGGTGATTTGAGTTTTGCTACATATTTTGTTTTCCTGAATGGAAGTTGCCATCAGAAGATGGTACACTGTGGTCAGAAACCAATACGCAGGTTGGCCTTGGAGTTTCATTGAATGACGCTAAGACGGTTAGAGGCTTAAGCGTGCCCAGAAGAAAAAGGATGAGCTGGTGCTGAAAGGCTGGGAAAATTCATGATTTCATGTTGTTTATACCAAAGTCCATTCCTACCAGCTGTATGGTGCAGCTGAAATCAACACTCATTGGGTTAAGAGGTTTTTTTTTTCTCAATCTGTTGTTTTCCAGTTTTGGTGAGCCTCAGTTTTCTGTCGTTAGTTAACAAAGGGGACATATATTCTGCTCCTGTGGCCCATTTGATTTAAGGTTGTACAAGTTGTATGTTCAGAGATGTGTTCTGCTCATCGTTTTAGTATTTAATGCTTATTTCATCTTTTGTTGCTCTTTCATCAACTCCAATCAGTGTCCCCTGAGCTCTGACATCAAGAAGATATATCTGACCACAGCCCATCACCAATGATTTGTAATCTTCTCTTTATCAGAACATTTTGTGTAAACCAGAGAGGTGGCTATGTGTGAAAATTATAGTAAATTTAATTCAATAGACTATCTATAGGGACTGCCTGACCATTTCTTGATGGTCAGTTTGTTCTTCAGAAAGTTGTCTCCACCATGTTTCGATACATAAACACATTGATTTCATTGGTCATTGGCTGAAGAGCTCTTTGTGTCAACAAGCTATTGAACAGATCAAGCCACTAGTGAGTGCAAACAGGAAATTTCTGCACATCTGATGTGAAGTGAGTGAAACTGAGGATTACAAAATCCAAACTGTCAATGCAACACAACGCTGTGCATTTTGCTCACAAGTATTTGATGATTGCGCTGTGTTTTAGTCTTCGTTTTTCCGCCAGAATAGCTGATTGTGAGCCTCTTCATTAACAGCATGCTATGCACTTATGTTTCATGGACCATGTCATTAGAGATGTGCCTCACAGGAGGAGGATGTTAAAGTGGAGAGGGAGTACAGAGCTCAGAAATGAATTTAGATGCAAATGGCATTTCACACAACCTCTCAGCATCTAAACACAATATGTTTCCTGTTACAGAATCAGTGACAACGGACTACTCTGCACTGTTTATATGTACAGAGTACTTCAACAGTATCAACAGATGGCTTTCTGCTAGCCTTCTAGCATCACACAGGCAGCACTCTACAAATGTCAGGTGAAGCAGGTGCACAGCGAGATCAACTAGCCCTTTGAGGGCAATATCTCTCCCCTCTGTTTACATTTGAAAAAAAAAAAATCAACTGCCTGTGTGGAAGTTCAAAAAGTATCCCAATATTGAGGCACTTTGGATTATTTTTCAGAAAGTTTGAGATGAACCACATCAGTGGCAATTATTAGCTTTTTATTTTTATATGCACAACCTAATTTCATAACACTAACATAGTTAGTGTTACGAAAAGGTCACTGAATGGTTGATTTTAAATCTTTTTTCATCCTGTTTCTTCAGACACTGCCCTTGTTGATTCTAGTGAATAGCAAAGGAGAAATGAACTGTTTTCCTTTTTGATATTATATTTTAGATCTCAACTGTTACCTTCTTTTCCAATAGTTATGTATACTTAGTGGTAACTTCCTATATGTGCTATTTGGCTCTCTGCCCAGGGCATCCTTTTGCCAGGAGGTGCCTCAACCAGGAAAACTGAAAGAAACAATTTAATCACCCTGCACAATTTTCTCTTGCTTATTTGCATATTGAATCAGTGAAAACTGGGAGTGTCCCAGTCTCTAAAACTTATTGTGTCATCATGCATGAGCTGGATAATTCTAACAAATAGAGCAATAAATAGATACTTAAACAATCAGCTCCAATGTAGACTTGCATCATTTTGCTGTGATTCTTGATAAGGGATGCTGTTGCTAAAATAAGCTCCAACATCCCTGCACACAGCAGCATGTTTGGCAATGAGGGAATTTTGTTGGCTTAAATTGGTTGTGATTGCAATAATCAACATATCCTCTGCACATGCTTCATGGGTGTCAAACTAAATGTAGGTGCATTCCCGCTACTTACTGGGCCAGAGTGTGTGCATCAGTGGTACCTGTGAGCCAAAAGTGAGGGAACTGAGAAAGGTGTAATAACTAAAATTAATCAGGATTTCATGTGTTATTCAGAAGGATGGATATCATCCTGCTTGGTGGAAAGTCATGACAGAGTCTCTCTGGCCCTTCTCATCGAAACAAGTTTGAACTGAACTGTAAAAGCATGTTAGTAGCTAGGCAACCACATAGAAATGATAAAGGCTTCTCTAATTTAGGCTCTGAATATCAGATTGAGATCGAAATTATTATAGTTACAAAATTCTGGTAATTGGAAGACAGCTTTTTGATTGCACTGTGTTTGTAAATCCAGCTCAATAACATCCTAATTCATAGATGTTCCTGAATATATTTTAATTCCTGTGTTAAAAAAAGAAGAAGTAATGTCTTCTTCTTTATTTATTTCCTATCATTGTTAAACGACAGTGTGCTGTGTTATAGTTACCAATATTGGTGTTCAGAGTCACTGGAGCTGACATTAATTGTTCTATATTACAGTGCTATTATCAGACAAACTTTGGCAGCAATACGACCTGAGCATATTTCTGTACAATCATGATCATAATCCTTCTTGTGTAGTTCCACCTAACAGGACTAGGAAGCAGAAGGAAGCAACAAAATGACACAGTATTTTCAAGCTT